AGGCAAACGTTCCAGTCTGACCTTGTGTTAGGCAAACGTTCCAGTCTGACCTTGTGTTAGGCAAACGTTCCAGTCAGACCTTGTGATCCAGTCAGACTTTGTGTTACGCAAACATTCCAATCAAATCACAAACGCAAACCAGTACAATCCAGTCAAACCATACCCCCGGCCGGGATTGAACCCGCGGTCATAGAGTCTCAAAACTCCAGCCCGTCGCGTTAGCCACTAGACCAGCTAGCCACAATAAGATTCATCCAACTAGGTATATTTCTACACCATAGGAAAGTTAGCACAGGCACCTTTGTGACCACAAATGCAAGTTTTTACAGACGGCAGTGAAGGGACTTGAGCTAGAGTTCGTCACGGCCACGCTAGCTGGAGATTCGTCTGTAAAAACTTGCATTTGTGGTCACAGAGGTGCCTGTGCTAACTTTCCTATGGTGTAGAAATATACCTAGTTGGATGAATCTTATTGTGGCTAGCTGGTCTAGTGGCTAACGCGACGGGCTGGAGTTTTGAGACTCTATGACCGCGGGTTCAATCCCGGCCGGGGGTATGGTTTATTTGCAATCGTGTCATTACGATTTCTTGAGTCACAATCCAGTCAGTTGCTAACGTTGCAGACAGACTCCCCTCCTCCAGTTCCTTTGCGACGCAAGCGTTGCAAGAAGACCTCCAGTTCTTATGCAAAACGCTGCAGGCAGAAGGCTACCTAAACTCTCCCTGTGGGAAACGTTTGTGTGGATGGAAGACTCGCTATCATGGCAGTCACGGCTCACTCATACATCATCCAAGCAAATACCAGGCCAGGGAGCTCTCTGCTTGCAGCATCCACAGCGTGGGTGATGCTTCCAGTATCAGTGTGGGGGAGATGTTCATCTCCCAGCATCAGAATAGGGGATGTGTTCATCTCTCAGCATCAGCCTAGGATAAAATGTTCATCTCCCGAGCCTGTGGTAGAGGAAGGTGTTCATCTAAACCTCAGCATCATTGTGGGTTGGGAGAAAGATATTCCGAGTATAAAAAAGATGGGAAGAAAAGAAAGAAGGATGAGATAAAGCAGAAATCTAGGAAGGCAATGATGCAACAGGAGACTTAGAAGCATTTAGGAGAGGTAAGGAGAGGCAGATGAGAGATGAACTCTATCTTAATGGTATTAGTATCTTGGTTTTAATGATGGTTACAGAGATCGAATAAATCTCACTGCGAGATAGACATGGTACCCAGGCCGTCTGTAAAATGTAATTTTCGTGGTAAAATGCTAAACCCATGGGAGAGAGAATGAGGGTGATACAGCTCTTGGGTCATGGGGGGGACACTCATGTTTAACCCCAGCAAGGTAGGAGGGTAACTTTTAATTCCTTGGATCAAGAGCTCTTCGTCAACATCAAGGCTCTTCAATGAGATAATGGCGTGAGATGCCGACACCTTGGCGAAGGCAAATGCAGTTTCACTTAATCTCTGTTGACAATGTTTCACTCACAGTGGGTATTACTGACGACGTTTCGCCCACACAATGGGTGTTGTTGACGACGTTTCGTCCGAATATTGAGTTTTTTTAAGTGACAAACAGGTGTTAATGACATCTCATAGCAATTACATGGAGCTGTGATGGTGCGTCTGTTGGCATAAATTATTATATTATTATTATTATTATTATATTATTATTGTTGTTACTATTATTATTATTACATAGATGCGGAGCGCTAAACCCAAAGGGGTCATACAACTTCTGGTGGGAGTGATGGGAGGCATTCAGGGTCATTGCAAAAAAAAGGGGAAACATGGGCCCAATTTCTGAGATCAAGAGCCTCCCTTCTTCCTCTCACCGGCATCAAGGCACCTCCATGGAGGACTGTGCTGGGAGTAGCTTGCTTCCTTGGTATTGATTGAGCCTTCTTGTTGCACTGTATCAACACAACGTTGGCCATTAGTCTAGGCAGCGCCAGCAACTCCAAGTTGAGAAATGAGTTTGTTAGGTTTTAAAAGTCTATCAGCTACATGAGGGTCATTAAGAGGCCATTTCACATGTACATTAAGTATACTTTAGCCCCCCCTCCCCCTAAAATCCTTTCAAGGGAGGTTCCTTGATACTCTTGATCTAAGAAATTGGACCTGTGCTCCAGTTCTTTGAATCGAGTCTTCAATGTTTTCCATTCCCCTTTAGACGCTGCATGACCCCTACGGGTTTAGTGTTTCGTCATGAATGTGATAATAATAATAGCCTAGTAAAATAGGGATCAAATTGAACTCCCGGTATATATACGCTGGGCGCTTCACTGTAAATAATTTTTCTCATAAAGTTTCTCCGTATAGTGTGATTTTTTCTAAATGCGATTGAATATGTACTTCCAAAAATAAATAGCGCGTGAAAAAGGCTTTCATAGTGCGTGTTATTCAATTTTGTATGCACCCTTTCTACTGCAGTTAAAAAAAAATCGGTGACCTAGAGAGCGTTTGCCAACGCCATCTAGTGACCAGCGGCGGAACAATGAAGTTTCACGTCCCACCACAGCTCAAAAAATCGACGTTGTTTACGAAGTTCATGCCAAGAGTCGATCTTCTTGGTATAGAACTCGTTAATGTTTTGATGGGGGTCATTGCAGCTCCTGGGCCCATAAACACAACATCGTCGCTTTGATTCGTGCCGTAATCAACGTTTTGAAGGGAATACTCCCCTCATGGAAGGTTCCTTGATGTTGGTGAGGGGCTCTTGATTTAAGGAATTGGATCTGTGCTCCAGTTCCCCGAATTAAGCCTGAATGCCTTCCACATCCCCCCTCCCCTGGGCGCTGTATAATCCTACGGGTTTAGCGCTTCCCCCTTGATTATAATAATAATAATAATGAAGGGAATGTTGTTTCCTTCCCCTATGCAGCATGTACCTGGGGGTGTATGTGTTGGTATGAAATACACTGAGGGATATCCTTTGGTCAGTATTATGAGACATTCAATATTATTCGTGTCTAGTTTACTGCCAGAGAGTATATAAGTTCCGATGGGTGGAGAAACTGAAAGAAGAATAAATCTTTGTAAAATGTGGCGTGTTGATGAGTGTGGTATTGATTTTGTGTGGGTTGATGATTATGTGGGTATAATGTAGTGACATGTTGATGGTTACGTGTGACGTGTTGGATTAATTTGTGGTGTTACGTGTTGGTATATGTGTGTGGTATAGACGTGTTGTATTATGATGGTGGTTTGACCAAGTACATGATGTATTGATCTCATTGCCGTATTCCACAGAAGCGCTAATTCCACTGGGTCATAGACCGCCGGAAAAGGTTGGAGGGGTATAAGTTTATCTGTGAAGTCATGAGAGTAGCTTCATTCAGTTGAACTTAAGTTTTATTTCACCGCACAGCTCCAATGAAGCCTTCGTGAATATACATCCTTGTATATATGTCAGCATATTGATATCCCGTATAGGTGTATAGCGTTTCATAGTACATCATTGTTTTATGAAGATCCCTTAGCCTGTGGACTGTATGACGTCACGGAATCAGCTGCAAGGAGAAGCTTTTCCTGTCAGTATCCGATAGGCATAGTAGAAGCAGTGACACTGCAGCTGGCTCATCTCCATTACCACAGTCTGATAATAGCGTTACCATCCATAAGTGAGTTTAACTTATCACAATCTCTACCGAACCACACGACATTTACAACCGATAGGTGTTGTTGCTGCATGTGTGTGGACACTAACACGGTGTGATGTTGCAGGTGTGTTTGGTCACAACAGGGTGTTGGTGCTGTCAGGTGTGTGGTACACTAACAGGGTTTGATGTTGGTCATGTGTGTGTGTGGTCACTAACACGGGTTGGTGTTGAGGCGGTGTGGCACTAACATGATGTTGGTTTGCAGGTGTGTGGTCACTTACGGTGTTGTATGTTGCAGGTGTGTGGGTCACTAACAGGATGTTGGGTATTGCAGGTGTGTGTGGTCACTACAGGTGTTGGTATTGCATGTGTGTGGTGTCACTAACACGGTGTTTGGGTTGCAGGTTGTGTGGATCACTACACGGGTGTTGTATTGCAGTGTGTGTGGTCACTAACATGGGATGGTGTTGCGGAGTGTGGTCATAAACGTGTTGGTGTTGAGTGTGGTGGTTCACTAACACGTGTTGATTGCAGGTGTGTGTGTCACTAACACAGGGTGTTGTGCTGCGTGGTGGACACTAACACGGTGTATGATGTTGCAGTGTGTGTGATCACTACACGGGTTTGGTGTTGCAGTGTGTGTGGTCATAACACGGTGTTTGGTGCATGCAGGTGTGTGGACACTAACCGTGTGTTGAGTTGCAGGTGTATGTTCACTAACATGGATGTTGTGTATGCAGTGTGTGTGTCACTAACACGGTTCGATGTGCAGTGATGTGTGGTCACAACTGGAGTTGGTGTTGCAGTGTGGTCCTAACACGGTGTTGGTTGTTGCAGGTGTGGTTGGTACTAACACGTGTAGGTCATCAGTGTTGTGGACACACTAACACGGTGTTGATGTTGCAGGTGTGTTGTCACTAACACGGGTGTTGGTGTTGCATGCGTGTGTTGGTCACTAACATGGATGTTGGTGTTGCAGTGGTGGTCACTACACGCGTGTGGTGTTGTAGGTGTTGGTCACTAACACGGGTGTGGTGTTGCAGGTGTGTGTGGTCACTAACACGGGTGTTGGTGTTGCAGGTGTGTGTGGTCACTAACATGGATGTTGGTGTTGCAGGTGTGTGGTCACTAACACGGGTGTTGGTGTTGCAGTGTGTGTGGTCACTAACACTGGATGTTGGTGTTGCAGGTGTGTGGTCACTAACAGCGGTTGGTGTTGTAGGTGTGTGTGTCACTAACACGGGTGTTGGTTTTGCAGGTGTGTGGTCACTAACACGGGTGTTGGTGTTGCAGGTGTGTGTGGTCACTAACACAAGTGTTGGTGTTGCAGGTGTGTGTGGTCACTAACACAAGTGTTGGTGTTGCAGGTGTGTGTGGTCACTAACACAAGTGTTGGTGTTGCAGGTGTGGTGGCAGGGGTGCAACATGCAGGTAGAGGGTCGGCACCATCCTCACCCCAGCTTGCGGCATCCCGCTCCGCCGAGTCCACACCTTCGAAATTCGTGAGTACCACCTTCTAATTTCGTGAGTACCACCACCACCTAATTTCGTGAGTACCACCTCCATGGTTAACTATGGTTTCCCATCTTCTTAAAAGAACCATTAAAATAGTAAATCCCCCTCCCTATCCCTCGTGTTTTACGTGAGTACCCTTGTTGTTTTACGATAGTTTCCCCTCTTCCAGGACACTAAAACAGTACTACTACTGCTTCTTTCATGTTTACCACTTTCTTGGTTTACTATAGTTTTCCATCTTTTCTCCTTCGAAGACCTTAAATAATACCCCCGTCCCCCTTCCATTTTCTCTATCTTCTAGAAGTGATGAACTGTGTTGCTGAGTGCCCTTAAAGTCGTAACTTATCCCCCCTCTTAAACATAGCATGGGCCTACTGGCCCATACTAGTATGGGCCAGAAGACAGGGCTTTCTGGCCCATACAGCTGTATAGTCCTTGTGGCTTAGCGCTTCTTTTTGATTATAATAATAATAATCTGGCCCATACTAGGCAGGGCCTTGTCAAACCCAAACCCACTAACAAAAATATTTGCCTAACCCATTTTCAATGCTACCCAAGGAATCATCTTTGATAATCCTGTTGACTCATGTGCAAGTAATACTTGATTCCAACCCCTCTCACTCGTGTGCTTATCTAACCTAAATTTGAAGCTAAATTTAAAGGTATGACACAAAAATATAACTTCCTCTCTCATTGCATATACATGTATAAAATCTTTTGTAACATTTGTAACAAATGCAAAAAAAAATCACTATCTCGTGCCATAAATATTCTACGTAGAATAAAACTGGACGAAGGAGTCTTCTCACTCCACGAAGGTGAGAGTAAAGCAACTGCAGAAATATTATAAATTAATAATTATCAAATTATTTGAAAGAATTCTAGGAAACAAGATTACAAGTAACATTGATTCACAACAGTTGCACAATCCAGGGCAATTGTTGGACTGTTATGACTTGCTCTTGGATGCAGTGTACGGGACTTTTGCAAAAACCTTTGGCAACTGCAACTTGTTAGTAGAGCCAAATCTTGCCGAGGAATACTGGAAAAAGTGGCAAATGATAATCTGTAACAATTAAGCCAAAAAACGAAGTAGCAAAGAGGATGTAAACATGCACCCATAGTATTAACCCAATTCTCTCCTCATTACCTGGCATAGAGACAATTTTTGCCTGTTCGTCCTTAGTAGATGATACAGAATTGTATGATGCATACTTTGAGGTACAATGCCTTGAGCGTTCCAAGAGCATACGAGGGCACTGACACCATATAAATTTACAGTGGGATGGAAATAATTTCAGTTATCTTCGATCTATAACATATCTGAGGAACTAAAAGCCATGTGAGCAGAGTACTAAACAAACTCAAAATTACCATAATGTTGACGCAGCATGTGCTTACTCGTCGTGCGTTCGTGGTTTGTGCATGCTCATGTTTTCATATAAGTTTATTGGTGACGTGACTCTCTTGGTGTATTACCAGGGATTTGAATTTAACCTTGTCATCAGTACAAATGCCTCATACTGGGTGCTTCAACAAATATGTTTCAAGGGAGCGCCACATTACTGGAAATACACCTTGAAATGATAATGTTACACAATGTAACCAAGGAAACGGTAGATACCAAATTTGATAGATCAAACTGCCTTCGTCAGTCATAAAAATCCCCACTTCCCTCGATTTACTGTCGATGCAGGACCCAACACTTATTAATAGTGCGTTCGAGATACGCCAAGTATGATAAATTAGACACGTGTGTAACACTTGGGTGATCTTGTTGAGGGTTTACAGCAGTGCCTTGAGTCATCGGTGTGAAGTGAGGTGAATCAGGGTCCACTGACACCATATGATGTTATGTCAGGAAAAGAAGTCGCTTTATCTCATCTATAGAAAATATTGAGGAAATAAAGGCTGGAACAGATACTAAACAAACTCAAATTACTCAGTAGAGTGCATGCACGCATAGGTGCGTGAGCTCGTGCGTGCGTTCGTGGGTGTGCATGCTCATTGTTTTCATAGTAAGTTTATGGTATCGTGACCTCTCTGGGTGTATATACATGTAGTGTTGTAAGGCAGCACCACGGGATTACTTTCACTTGTCATCAGATCACACAACTTGCCTCATACATAGGGCTGCTTCCAACAATTATGTATTCAAGGGGAAGCGCTCCACCCATAAGGATCATACACTCTTTGAAATGAAAGATACACGAATGTGATCCAAGGAAAGGGGTAGATAACTCAAATTTTATAGATCAAGACTCCTTCGTCAGCATCAAAACATTCCCCCCCCCTCGAAGTATTGTCGATGCAGGCACTCCCAACACTATAGATCAGTGGTTCAGAGAACCGACAAGTTGATAAATTAGACACGTGTGTAACACTTGGGTATCTTCGTTGAGGAAACGTTTTTACACAGTGGCTTCATCAGTCCAATACAAAGAAGAGTGGTGAAGATAAGGAGGAGTTTTGGGTAATCAGTCCCTCAACCTGGTGTCGATGTAATCTATCCAGCAATCATGACTGATGGTCGCTCCTGCCTCTCGCAGTTGCTGGACCGATACGTCATAAAAAAAAAACCATACCACGGGCGGGGATAGAACCCGCGATCAGTCTCAAAACTCCAGACCGTCGCGGGTTCTATCCCCACCCGTGGTATGGTTTGTTTGCAATGGTGTCATCACGATTTCACGAGTCACGATACGTCATAGTTGTTTATACATCGGAAAACAAACGGAAAGTAGATGTAGTGTGAACAAGGTGCAATAACGCACACGATGCATGATAAATAAATGACTGGAAAAGTGAGCAAATGGATCTTTAATTTTTTTAACAAATCGGACCCAAAGAGTAATAGGTAACAATGTAATATTGAAGACTTTTACAGTGAAAAGCTTTGTGCTTCAAGGCGCGGTACTCACCCCGATTCTCTTTCTCATTCTTATTTCCACCATAGACACAATTCATTTTACTGTATCATCATTTGCAAACAATAGTAGAATTTGTATTTCATCCATTGAGGACACAGCGAATCTCTAAGTCGGCATAAACCAGATCTTCAAGTGGGCCACAGAACCATGATGTTTAATGTGGACAAATTTCAGTTACACAGCTATGGAAAAGCTAAGAATTTAAAAAATGGAACAGATTATTAAAAAGGGTGAACCACTCAATAAAGCGGAAGAGAAATGTGAACTTGAGTAATAATGTCAAAAGATCTTACATTCAAGGCTCACAACATTATTTTCACAACCGCAAGGAAAATGTTAGTCTGGATTATTAGAAACTTTACAAGAGATGCCAAGCCATTAATCATTCTTTTAAAGCCTTTTTCTCTTTATACTGGAATATTGCTAACTCCGTTTAAGACAAGTGAATCACAGATCCAGAGAATATACCGAGCACCTTCACTTCTCATATAAATTCATTCGTTGGAACGTCCTGAAGTTCCTTGAACTGTACTGGAACGTAGGCAAGGAAGATACATCAGAACCTAGAGTCTACCCGGACAGTGTTCCGAGGGCGGTGACTCCCAAATATGCACATTGAAATAACTACTAAAACAAGAGGCTCGGTAGACGGTACAAAATACCCTCAGTGGAAAAGCAAGTATACAGTGAGTGAGCACGATAAGATGTAACTCAAGTGTAAAGAAACCAAAACTTTTTAACACCCTTCAAAAAGCGAATGAGTTATTTCCGCAAGTTGGTTTCTGATGAGCTGGACTGTGGTGCCTGTGTTGGACTGGGTGCAGCTGGCACTAAGAGCCTCATTGTTCAGCCCGTCAACCTGAGGCGCCTTTTCTGGGACCAGGCCGCGCGTCTGCCAATTCATCCCTGGATGACAGTCGGGTTTAGAGCTTCACATGAAGTAAAATATGCTAGATGTTATATTTGAGATGGTATTGGAGAAGTAACTAGTTTATGTGCACGATATCATGTAGAGCAGCGGCTAGTTTATTGTACACCATATCCAACGTGGGGACAGTAGCGGCTAGTTTATTGTACACCATATCCAACGTGGGGGACAGTAGCGGCTAGTTTATTGTACACCATATCCAACGTGGGGGACAGTAACAGCTAGTTTATTGTACACCATATCCAACGTGGGGGACAGTAGCGGCTAGTTTATTGTACACCATATCCAACGTGGGGGACAGTAGCGGCTAGTTTATTGTACACCATATCCAACGTGGGGGACAGTAGCGGCTAGTTTATTGTACACCATGTCCAACGTGGGGGACAGTAGCGGCTAGTTTATTGTACACCATATCCAACGTGGGGACAGTAGCGGCTAGTTTATTGTACACCATATCCAACGTGGGGGACAGTAGCGGCTAGTTTATTGTACACCATATCCAACGTGGGGGACAGTAACAGCTAGTTTATTGTACACCATATCCAACGTGGGGGACAGTAGCGGCTAGTTTATTGTACACCATATCCAACGTGGGGGACAGTAGCGGCTAGTTTATTGTACACCATATCCACGTGGGGGACAGTAGCGGCTAGTTTATTGTACACCATGTCCAACGTGGGGGACAGTAGCGGCTAGTTTATTGTACACCATATCCAACGTGGGGGACAGTAGCGGCTAGTTTATTGTACACCATATCCAACGTGGGGGACAGTAGCGGCTAGTTTATTGTACACCATATCCAACCCTGGGGGACAGTAGCGCTAGTTTATTGTACACCATATCCAACGTGGGGGACAGTAGCGGCTAGTTTATTGTACACCATATCCAACGTGGGGGACAGTAGCGGCTAGTTTATTGTACACCATATCCAACGTGGGGGACAGTAGCGGCTAGTTTATTGTACACCATATCCAACGTGGGGGACAGTAGCGGCTAGTTTATTGTACACCATATCCATCCTGGGGGACAGTAGCAGCTAGTTTATTGTACACCATATCCATCCTGGGGGACAGTAGCGCTAGTTTATTGTACACCATATCCATCCTGGGGGACAGTAGCGGCTAGTTTA